AGGGTAGGGCGGTCGTCCCTGAGGCCTGACACGTTTACCGCCATCCTTGGTTCCCTCCAGGGGTTCGTAATGTATCAACTTAATAATATGGGTAAGGCATGCCTCACATTCCATTTACTGGATAGGGAAGAGAAACACTTAAAAATAAGTTTCTATATTTAAAAGCCACATGTGCGATGGGACCCCATACGTGCAAAATGATGTACACGTAAGGAGATGGGGGAAAGGAAAGGAAGGCCACCAGAGATTATCCCAGAGGGGGCATTGCAGGTGACTTACTTATTCCTTAAAAAAAAAAAAATAAATAAATTCTTGGGCCTGGCCAGGTAGTTCAGTTGGTTAGAGCGTCATCCCAATACACCAAGGTTGCGGGTTCAATTCCTGTTCAGGGCACATAACAAGAATCAAGCAATGAATGCCTAAGTGGAACAACAAATCAGTGTCTCTCTCTTTCTCAAAAAAAAAAAAAAATCAATAAATTAAAAACACACACACACACAAAGATTTCATCACTCAAATTTTAAAAAAAAATTATTTTGCACTGACTGGGAGGAGTCACCCTGGAAGACACCCCTCGCTCGCACAGGTTTCCGAGGGCACGCAGGAAACGAGTGTGCCCACACCCATTATGCTTCCACGGGCTGCTCCCCAGGGTGTGTCCTCTGATGTCGGACCAGGGCTGAGCTCCTTCTGAACATTTTCCCACACTGAGGACACTGGCTGGGACCCTCCCTGCTGTGGAGTCTCTGATGTACTGCAAGGTGAGAGTTCTGTTTGAAGGACTTCCCACACTCTGGACACTGGTACGGGGTCTCCTTGGTGTGAATTCTCTGGTGCTTGGTCAGGCAGGAGCTGTCCCTGAAGGCTTTGCCACACCGACTACACTCGTAGGGCTTCTCCCCAGTATGAGTCCTCTGGTGCCGGATGAGGCCAGCGATGTTCCTGAAAAGCTTCTGACACTGGTCACAGCCATAGGGCTTCTCGCCAGTGTGAATTCTCTGGTGCCTGATGAGGTAAGCACTCTCGATGAACGTCTTCCCACACTCTTGACACTCGTAGGGCTTCTCCCCAGAATGGATTTTCTGGTGCACGATGAGGTGAGAGTTACGGTTGAAGGACTTTCCACACTCCACACATTCAAAGGGCTTCTCTCCGGTGTGAGTCCTCTCGTGTTGGGTGAGGTACGAGCCATCCCGGAAAGCCTTTCCACACCTGCTACATTCATAGGGCTTCTCCCCAGTGTGGATCCTGAGATGCACGGTGAGGTGGGAGATGTCTGTGAAAGGCTTCCCGCACTCGTTACATCGGTATGGTTTTTCCCCCGTATGAGTTCTTTGATGCAAAATCAGGGATGAGTTTCGGTTGAAGGTTTTTCCACATTCTAGGCATTCGTAAGGTTTCTCCCCGGTGTGAATTCTCTGGTGTTGTGTCAGAGCTGACCCATCGCTGAAGGCTTTCCCACACTTACTGCATTTGTAGGGCTTCTCTCCTGTGTGGATTCTTTGATGCACAATCAAGTTATAGTTCTTGGAGAAGGATTTTCCACACTCGTTACATGTGTAAGGTTTCTCTCCAGTGTGAGTGCGGTGATGCAAAATGAGAGAAGAGTTCCGTTTGAAGCACTTGCCACATTCCATACATTTATACAGCTTCTCCCCGGGGTGACTCCTCCTGCTTTCATTAAGAGATGAAGTCAAGGTAAAGATGTCCCCCAAGTCCTTGCCTTCATACAGTTTCTTCCCTCTCTTTGTTATCTTGTGTTCACCAAGAGGGGTAAAATGGCTGAAAGACTCCACACTTTCAGGGTATTTATAGAGCTTCTCTCTCATTGGATTTCTGCCCAGTTGTTGAATCACTTCCATGGAATGGCAGAAGGCTTTCTCATGGGCAACACTGTCACCAGTTCTTGTAGCTACACAACTTCTCTGAGAACCATGTAAAGCTGGGTCACAATCCAAACGCATAACCTCTGAGTCATGTACATGGAAACCATTTGTTGCAGGAATCCTCCGAGATGTTGGAAGGTCAGAGCTGGCACTCAAAGGCCTCCCAAGTCCAGGATACTCACAAACTGCTTCCTGAGCCCCAGGCTTTTCCCGAGTTAAAGCTAATTGTCTCAGGTGTCCCTCCCAGTTCTGAGAGTCCCACCTGTCAGCTGCGATGGTGAAATGGGGATCCTTTCTTATAAATCCTTCCATTTCCACGTCACACGGTAGTGCTTCCTCAGGAATATTCTGAGCTGTCATTTTCAGTCTCGTGTTGCAGGCTGAAAGTGAAGAAGGAAAAAGACGGAGTTCAGTACATGGAGCTATGTCTTCAAGAATAATAAAAAATGGTGACAGGCAGGAATGTGGGTGTGCTCTTTTACTTGTTTTCTTTCTCAAATTCATATCTGTACAAGGGGGAGATAAACTGAGAATCAGGGGATGAGAGGAGAAGAACAGGGTCAGAGAGAGCTACAGAGAGGTTTTTTAATTTGCTTTTTAAAGGGAAAACACAAGGAAAGTTATATTTTACTTTTATTTTTTAAAATATTTTTTTATTGATTTCAGAGAGGAAAGGAGGAGAGAGAAACATCAATGATGAGAGAGAACAATCGACCAGTTGCCTCCTGCATGCCCCGCACTGGGGTTCGAGCCTGCAAACCGGACATGTGCCCTTGACCAAAATCGAACCCAGAACTCTTCAGTTCGCAGGTCGACGCTCTATCCACTGAGCCAAGCCAGCTAGGGCTACTGCAACTTCTTTTTAATCCTCACTGGAGGATATGTTTTTATTGATTTTAGAGAGAGAGAGGAAAGGAGTGGGAGAGAGAGAGAGAGAGGAATATTGATGTGACAGAGAGCCATCAATCAGTGGCCTCTCACATGTGTTCCGACTGGGAATCAAGCCCATGGCCCTTAAGTGCATGGATGATGTTCCAATCTCTAAACCACACTGCCCAAGACCAAAGTACAACTACAAGAACACAAAATACACAACCGGTGGTTCAGTGGCAGTGGTTAGAGCACTGGCCCGTGCATCGATTCTGGGTCAAGCGCATGTACCTGGACTGCAGGCTTGATCCCTGGTCCCGGGTCAGGTTATATGCAGGGGAGGCGACCAATCGATGTATCTTTCTCACATCCATCTCTCTCTCTCTCTCTTCCCCTTTTCCTCTCCCACTCTCTCTAAAAATCAATGGAAAAAATATCCTTAGTGAGGATGAACAACAAAAAAGAACACAAAATATGCACACTTCATACTAGTAAAAGTAAAACAAGGGATCTGACAGGGTGGCTCAGTTGGTTAGAGTGTAGTCCCCATATGCCAAGGTTGTGGGTCAGATCCACGGTCAGGGCACATACAAGAATCAAACAATGAATGCATAAACAACTAGAGCAACAAATCAATGTTTCTTTCTCTCTTCCTCTCTCTAAAATTAATAAATAAATTGAAAAATAAAAAGTAAAACAAGGTATGAAAACATAAAGCTTGGGCAGGTCATGCAGGAAGAGTTGGCGGGCATTGGAAGTGGACAGCCAGTCGGTGATCTGTTAGCAGCAGCTGAAACATAAAATGGGCACATTTCTCACCCAGTGAATCCACCTGCAGGCATCTCAGGCTCAGAAAGCATGAGTCCCGAGCATAAGTGCACATTATTCTATACCAAGGAGACACATTTTAAATTTTTAAAAATGTATTTATATATATATATATATATATATATATATATATATATATATATATAAAAATATATATATATATTTTATTGATTTTTTACAGAGAGGAAGGGAGAGAGATAGAGAGTTAGAAACATCGATGAGAGAGGAACATCGATCAGCCGCCTCCTGCACATCCCCCACTGGGGATGTGCCCGCAACCCAGGTACATGCCCTTGACCGGAATCGAACCCGGGACCTTTCAGTCCGCAGGCCGACGCTCTATCCACTGAGCCAAACCGGTTTCGGCATGTTTTTATTTTTAAAAAATAATTTTTTTTTTATAGCAAAGGTGGAATTTATTGAAGAACAAGTACAGACTCCCACATGGGGAGAGGGAAAGAGTCCCACAGAATGAACTCCCACGTAGGGAGGGGGAAAGGGTCCCCAATAAATTTTTTTAAAATGACTTTAGAGATTGGAAGGGAGAGGGAGAGAAGGAGAAAGAGAGAAAAAAAACTTCAATGTAAAAGAGAAACATCGATTGCCTGCCTCCTACATGCCCACCACTGGAGATCAAACCACAGGCATGTGCCCTGACCAGGAATCGAACCAGGGACCTTTTGGTGCATGGATGTTCAACCAACTGAGCCACAACGACAGGGCCAGGTGACAGTCGTAAAGACCAGCAGGGAGAAGACTCACCACTGGTAAAGAAATGAAAAGTATCGTGATTGCCCTAACCGGTTTGGCTCAGTGGATAGAGCGTTGGCCTGCGGACTGAAGGGTCCCAGGTTCGATTCCGGACAAGGGCATGTACCTTGGTTGTGGGCACATCCCCAGTGGGGAGTGTGCAGGAGGCAGCTGATCGATGTTTCTCTCTCATCAATGTTTCTAACTCTCTATCCCTCTCCCTTCCTCTCTGTAAAAAATCAATAATATATATATATATTTTTAAAAAGAGTTGACAAAGTTCCACATATAACAGAATAAAAATACATCAAAGTTTTTTGTTTTTTTTTTTAAAGAAAAGTATCGTGCCGAGACCAGTTTGGCTCAGTGGATAGAGCGTCAGCCTGCGGACTGAGAGGTCCCGGGTTCGGTTCCGGTCAAGGGCATGTACCTGGGTTGCGGGCACATCCCCGGCGGGGGATGTGCAAGAGGCAGCTGATCGATGTTTCTAACTCTCTCTATCTCTCTCCCTTCTTCTCTGTGAAAAATCAATAAAATATATTAAAAAAAAAAAATGAAAAGTATCGTGACGGACCCTTCCATAGCAAAATAGAAACCTGCAGGTAACGGCAGGTCACTTTCAAAGTGCGGAGGGAAAAACTATCAAATACGTAATTGTTCAAAAGGGAAGCCCTGGCTGGGTGGCTCGGTTGGTTAGAGCGTTGGCCCAATATGCCAAGGCCATGGGTTCCATCTCCAGTCAGGGCACATACAAGACTCACCCTATGAATACATCAATAATGAAACAGCAAATCGTTGTTTCTCTCTCTTTCCCTTCCTCTCTCACTCTCTAAAATCAATACATAGAATTTTAAAAAATAATAGAGAAGGAAAACATACCACCACCACCACCCCCCTGCAAAAAAAAAAAAAAGGAAAGAAAAGGAAATGATAAATGTGTATTTAAATAAATCCAGCACAGACCGTATAAAATGTTGCCGTAGGACTGGCCAGTATGGCTCAGTTGGTTGAGTGTCCTCCAGTGCACTGAAAGGTCACCAGTTCAATTCCTGGTCAGGATACATGTCCTGGTTTCAGGCTCGATCCCCAGCAGGGGACGTGCAGGAGGCAGCCCACAACCTTGGCGTATGCCCTGACCAGCAACCTTTCATTTCATGGGATGATGTCCAACTGAGCCATCCCAGCCAGGCAGTGAGCACCCCCATTCTCCCCCATCCTCTGACCCTGTCCTCGGATATCCACCATCCACTTCTCTGTGGCCGTCTGTCCCTCTCTTCCCCATGGCCATCAAAGGCTCTTTACACACAGAACGTTGCCTCAGCACATGCTGAGACCTCAGGTCTGGAGAACTTTCTGTGATAACTTGTCCTGATGCTGTTCCAGGTCATGACACAGGGGGTTACTCGCCTGAGGATAAGACCCAGTTCACCTGGATGCCTGGGATGCCTTCTAGTGTAAGCACGTAGAGCCTGCCCCCACCGAGGTACTGCATCCTTCCTTTCCTGTTTCACACACCCGGTCTGGATCCACTTCCCCGATACTCAGTGTTCCAGCAGCATCCACCCATGGCTCACCTCACTCAACTGCACTGAAGACAATGATTTGTGACAGTCCTGTTTCTCTTAATCCAAACCTATAGTCTCCAACACGGGATTGCTTCCTACGTCTTCTAGGGTAGCTGCGCCCAAGTACTTAAATATAGAAACAAATATTTTAATACTTTCCTTTCATTGACTCTTTACCTGCACATATGACTTGAGAATTTTTTTAATTATGTGGATATGTAATGTTATCTATAAAATTCCTTTCAGGATGGTAAAAGGCCCACTACAAACTTGACCATAAAAAGTGAGCATTACACAAAAGTTACCTCAAAGTGGATGGCAGGCCTAAATTTAAGATCAAAAACTAAAACTCCTAAAAGAAGAACAGGTGTCAATCTTCAGAAATTTGTTTACATCAGAAGCACAAGTGACAAAAAAAAAAGTAGGTAATTAAAACCTTTTGTGCTTCAAATAATATCACTAAGAAAGTGAAAAGACACCCACAGAAGAGGATAAAATACTTGCAGATCATATACCTGATAAAGCACTGGTACCCAGAGTAAATAAATAACTCTTACAACTCAATAATAAAAAGATCAATAATCTGCCTAGCCAGTGTGGCTCAGCTGGTTGAACATCAGGAAATTATTGGTTTGATTCCCAGTCAGGGCACATGCTCAGGTGGGTTGCGAGCTCAATCCCCATTAGGGGATATGCAGGAGGCAGCCGATCAGTGTTTCTCTCTCTCCCTCTGAAATCCATAAAAAACACATATTTTTAAAAAGATTCTTAAAAAAAAAAAAAAAAGATCAATAACCCATTTAATAAATGGGCAAAGGATCTGAATTAACAGTTCTCCAAAGAAGATATACAAACTGCCAATAAACATAATTGTGTATTGGAAAAGATGCTCAACACCATTAACCATGAAAATGCAAATTGAAACCACAGTGAGATACTACTTCACTCCCACTCTATCTCTATAGTCAGTTCCACTCCTAGCTTGTCCAAGAGAAATGAAAACATGTCCACACAACACACACAAAAAACCTTGTACATGAATGTTCACAGAACATTATACATTAATATCAGTGGAAGCAACTCAAATGTCCATCAGCTGATGAACGGATAAACACCACATGGTATATCCATACAATATTACTCATCCATAAAAATGAACTAAGCCCTAACCGGTGTGGCTCAGTGGATAGAGCGTCAGCCTGCGGACTGAAGGGTCCCAGGTTCGATTCCGGCCAAGGGCATGTACCTGGGTTGCGGGCACATCCCCAGTAGGGAGTATGCAGGAGGCAGCTGGTCGATGTTTCTCTCTCATCGATGTTTCTAACTCTCTTTCCCTCTCCCTTCCTCTCTGTAAAAAATCAATAAAATATATTTAAAAAAAAATGAACTAAGTACCAATACACACTACAAAGGCGGATGAACCTTGAGAATACTATGCTAAGCAAAAGGAGCCAACACAAAAGACTGCATACTGTGCTTCCATGTTTATGAAATGTCTAGAACACACAAATACAGAGACAGAGAGTCGATGAATGATTGCCATGGGCTGAAAGGGCTCGAGGAGAGGGGAAGTGACTGCCAATGGGCACAAGCTTTCATTTTGGGGATGATAAAAATATTCTAAAATCGTTATTGGCAATGGTGAAAACCACTGAATTTTATACCTTAAGATGGTGAATGGTAATGGTTTGTGAATTATCTCTCAAAAAATCTGCATTTTTTTTAAAAAGTAGCAAAAAAAAAAAAAAAGCAGGTGTTGAGTCTGCCAGGGTCATAACCACTGGCCTAGACCCCACATGGCCCGATTCTGGTGCGTTAAGACTTCATGAAGTGCCAGAACCGGTTTGGCTCAGTGGATGGAGCATCGGCCTGCGGACTCAAGGGTCCCGGGTTCGATTCCGGTCAAGGGCATGTACCTTGGTTGTGGGCACATCCCCAGTGGGGGGCGTGCAGGAGGCAGCTGATCAATGTTTCTCTCTCATCATTGATGTTTCTATCTCTCTATTCCTCTCCCTTCCTCTCTGTAAAAAATCAATAAAATATATTAAAAAAAAAAAAAAAAAGACTTCGTGAAGTAACAGTTTTATAGGCTGTGCCAAGATTGTGTAGAATTCCTTCCCCAGGCACTCACCTCTGAAGGGCCTTATCCCGTCTCTACGACGCTGCGGAGAAATCCGTGAGGCCCAGTGCCTGAAAGTTTGACGTCAATGGCTGCCAGACCTCAGCTGTACAAGCCCATCGCACGGTTCCTGCCGTCTCTGTGGACCAAACAGGATAATGTTTGCTTGTTCAAACGATGCATTCTTTAACAGAAATAAGCTGCTGCCACCAACGTCAGCCCTGTCCTCACAGAGTCACCCACCTGACTACCAGTTGTGATAAAGTCTGACTCCGTTTTTGACGATTGACGGCTGTCAGCTTTCAAGCACCATTCCCTCCCCATCACCTCCTTCCACCCGACATCTAAGTCTTACAAAAAAGCCTGATGCTTTCCCCTTGGAGTTGGCAGGAAGTTCTAACCACGCCAGCCCCAAGCAAGGCGAGGCCACCCTCATCCCAGCTCCACTCTCTACTCACAATAAAAGCCCATCCAGTCAGTCTCCTGTTCCTGCTCCCTGAGGCTATTTTGGATTATCCTGAGAGCACATACCCTGCTCTCCCAAGACAGCCTCATTATGTGAGTAATCAACCCTTCATCCTCTTAGTGTGTGTACGTGTGTAAATATATAGTGTGTGTAAAATACACAGTGTATGTGTGCAAAATAGTGTGTACGTGTGTAAAATATAGTGTGTATGTGTGTAAAATACATAGGGTGTTTGAGACAGGGAGAAAAAAAGGTAAAGCTTATGTAGCAAAGTATTAACTTGAAAATCTGGATGGTTTTACAAGTGTTCATTGAACTGTTCCTGCAACTTTTCATATATATATATATTGATTTCAGAGAGGAAGGGAGAAGGAAAGAGAGATAGAAACATCAATGATAAGAGAAAATCATTGATCAGCTGCTTCTTACACGCTCCGTACAGGGGATCAAGCCCACAACACAGGTATGTGCCCTTGATCGGAATCGAACCCGGGACTCTTCAGTCCACAGGCCAACACTCTATCCACTGAGCCAAAACAGCCAGTGCTTCCTGCAACTTTTCAAAATAAAAAGTTTGCCGAAACCGGTTTGGCTCAGTGGATGGAGCGTCGGCCTGCAGACTGAAGGGTCCCGGGTTCGATTCTGGTCAAGGGCATGTACCTGGGTTGCGGGCACATCCCCAGTGGGAGATGTGCAGGAGGCAGCTGATCGATGTTTCTCTCTCATCGATGTTTCTGACTCTCTATCCCTCTCCCCTCCTCTCTGTAAAAAATCAATAAAATATATTAAAAAAAAAAAAGTTAGCCTGGTCGGTGTGGCTAAGAGGTCGAGTGTTGACATATGAACCCGGGCAGGGCATACGCCTGTGTTGGGGGCTCTGTTCCCAGTAGGGGGCATGCAGGAGGCAGCCCATCAGTGATTCTCAACATTGATGTTTCTCTCTCCCTCTCCCTTCCTCTCTGAAATCAATAAAAAATATATTTAATTAATAAATAAATACATAAGTAAATAAATAAAAAGTTGGTCCCAGGCAAGACAAAGATACAGGCGCTCATCACCAACAAACCAGTGTTACAAGAAATGTTAAAGGGACTTCTTTAAGAAAAAGAAGAAAAAAATATAATGAAATGTCAGTGACCACATATCTATCAATAATTACTTTAAGTCCTGACCAGGTGGCTCAGTTGGCAGGAACATCATCCCATACACCGAAAGGTTCTGGGTTCAATTCCTGACCAGGGCACATCCCTAGGTTTCGAGTTCCATCCCTGTGGTCATAAGAGCAGGCAACCCATCTCTCTCTCCCCCTTCCTCCCTCCCTCCTTTACTACCTCCCTTCATTCCTCCCTTCCCCTCTCTCTAAAATCAGTAAAACCTATCTTCAGATGAGGATTAAAAATAATAATGATAATAAAAATTAAGTGCATAACACTTTATTACTAAAATAATAATAGTATTGTAATCACTGTTATGGTGCCAGGTGGGTCCTAGATTTTTCAGGGGGATCACTTCATAAATTATGTAAATGGCTAACCACTATGCTGTACACCTTAAACTAACACATTGAATGTCAACTGTCATTGGAAAATTAAATTTTAAAAAGCGGGCTGGGAAGGGAGAGAAAACAAGCAACAGAACTGAGGAAAGTTACTTGGGGGAAAATACACCACACAAAGGTTTGGTACTGAAAACATTTTCATAAGCCCAAGTGCCTAACAACCAACTTTTTTAAATTGGCCAAGTATGCCCTGACCGGTAGTGGATAGAGCGTCAGCCTGCGGACTCAAGGGTCCCGGGTTCAATTCTGGTCAAGGGCATGTATCTTGGTTGCGGGCGCATCCCCAGTACGGGGTGTGCAGGAGGCAGCTGATGGATGTTTCTCTCTCATCGATGTTTCTAACTCTCTATCCCTCTCCCTTCCTCTCTGTAAAAAATCAATAAAAATATATTAAAAAATAAAATAAATTGGCCAAGTATAAGTGATCTTTCTCGGGTGATGATAATTCTGAGGTTTGGTTGCATTTGTCAAAACTCATCCAGTGGTACAACGAAGATCAATTGTGCCTAGAAATTAAAAAAACAACAAGAGTACTGAACTCAAATCAACCAACGAATACATAAATAAGTGAAACAACAAGTCAATGTTTCTCCTCCCTTCTCTCTCTCTAAAATAGTAATAAGTCTCTAAATTTTTTTAAAAAATATTATTGAGGAGAGATCAACCAAAGGACTTGTATGCACACCTATAAGCCTAACCAATGGACACTGACACCAGGGGGTGAGGGCATGAGTGGGGGGCTGGGGCGATAAGGACACATATGTAATACCTTAATCAATAAAGAAAGAAAATAAAAATTATATTTTTCCCCTAAAAAAATAGTATTGAACTCTAACTGACGTGAAGCGCAGTGAGGTATTTAAGGGGGAAGCTCGATGGTACCTGCCACTCAACTTAAATGTCTCCCCAAAAAAGATTTAATGGATGACAGGGAGAAATACACATGTCCCCCAAAAAATGTATACACACTTTAACAGCTGATTCTATTACAATTATTTTTTATTCTGTTACAATTTTAAAATGAAACGCACCCTAGCTGGTGTGGCTCAGTGGATAGAGCATCGACCTGCGGACTGAAGGGTCCCGGGTTCGATTCCAGTCAAGGGCACAGGCCCGGGCTGCGGGCTCCATGGTGTGTGTGTGCAGGAGGCAGCCGATCCATGATTCTCTCTCATCACCGATGTTTGTATTCGCTTTCCTCTCTCCCTTCCTCTCTGGAATCAATAAAAATATATATTTAAAAAAATTAATATGTAATACTCTGTAATACTTCAGGCAATAAATATATATATAAAATAAAAAAAATAAAATGAAACGCATCTTACTAAACGCTGCCTCTATGGTTACTCAAAGTGTGTCTACATTTTGGGGGAACCTCCTCTCTATGAGACCAGGCACAGGAGGCATTCACGGGTCGGCATAAGGGGGCGCCAGGGCTCCCCCTTTTCCATCTGCAGGAAAACTCACCATGGACTCCTGGGGGGAGAGGAGCCAAGGAAACGAACCCCGAAAACCAAGGCGGAGAAAATGCAAAAACGGCCATAAAACAGATGGAATCGCACCGAGACCGCACGCGGAGAGTGTTCAGGGGGTGGGGAGGGGTCACCCGCAGGCGGGAGGGGGGCACCCTGCAGGCGGGAGGGGG